GGAGGGTGAAGTGGAAGGAGCAAGTCATGCACTGCCTCATATTTCTGCAGTGTGAGGCAGCTGGGAGCTGCAGCACAATCACTGCTGAACACCACAGGCAGATTTATTTACTGTCCCACATAAATAAATAATCTCGGGAACAATGAGCACAGCACGATGATGATGCAGCAGTGCTGCAGAAAAGAACTGGAGGTTATTGTGAATGACAAACTGAACTCAAGTCCACAATGTCATCCTATTGCGAAAAAGCTAACATTGCTAGGATATATAAACAGGAATGTCACATGTAGGACACGTGAAGAAACTCTTCTGCTCCCCCCTCTTCAGCACTGGTTAGGCCTCCCGTCATGCACACTGTGTTTCCAAAGGGGAGTGGACCAGCTGGAGGGGATCCAGAGGAAAGAAAAAGAAAGCTCTAGAAATACAACCTATGAGAAAAAGATTGATCCGAGTCCTCACATATGACAGAACAGGTGTCTGTTAACAACTTGCAAGCTTGTTAATAGGGAGGTGTCTTAAGAACTTGCGAACTTGTAAAAAGCTGCTATCAAGAGGAGGGAAATATTTTGTTCTCCCTATCTGATGTTGGCATGGTCAGGAAGCAGCGAGCTTAGCTTGAAGCAAAAGAGGTGTGATTTAGGCACCCCCCAAAAAATACAATGCTTCTCCCACACATACCAACTCCACCACTTTGTAATGAGACGAGCAGCTGTTGCTGGAGCAGATTGGTTGGGCAGATGGTAGGTTTCCATCACTGGGGCTCACGTTCAGCCATGAGAAGGGCTGGCCTGTCTGTGCTCTAAGAGGAGGTGCCTGGTGCTGCCCACCCCACTCACTGTGAGCTCATGATGTCACCTCGCCCTGCAAAGCCACCGTGCCCCTTTCTGTCCCATCCCCGTTGGCTGCTCGTTGTCCCTGTGCCTTCAGGGCTGTCAAGGGGGCAGCTGCCGCAACAAAGCACGCAACAGCTCAAGTCTCTGAAGTCATAACGCAAACACAGGGCATGCACTTGCATAATGTTTACCTGGATGTAAGCAAAACGCAAGGCTGAACAAGGTGTTTCTCTTCACTGTGCCTGTACCCAGGAGCCACTAACGCTCACACTTTGTGGAGCATTCCTCTCAGCATCTGTAACAGGGCTTGCAAGTGCTTCATTGTGGCTGTTGGACCTGTAGCTCACCAGCGCTCCCAACTCCCCATGAACCTGGAGCGCACTCGGTGTTTCTCAGCGTGCTTGCAAGAGACTTAGTTCCCAGGCTGAGCGTACAAGGGCTCTCATAGCTGCTGGACTCCTTCCCCGTGCTAGTGTTGCAATGGTCCATGGCTGAGGAAAGCAATCATCGGGATTGCCCCGCACAGATGGTATTGGGTTGCAGCACTGCACTTGCAGATGCTGGTATTGTGAGAGGCCCACGAGAGGCCATGGTCATGAAAGCATTTCATTTTTACATTCCCTAATTTTCTTGACAGAAGGAAATTGCAGTTGTAGGAGATAGCACTCATGAAGGCAGGTGCATTAATGCAGCTGTTTTCAGCCAGGGCCTGCAGAAGAGAGCTCTACCGGGAGCCTAGACAGAGTATCACTGTCCCTACTGCAATGCCTGGCAGTCGTGCGTGGTGTGAGCCCCCTTGTTCCAGTGTCAAAAACAGTGGATCTCGAAAGAGATCAGACAGGTCCCAGATGCCAGTGCTCTCCTTTCCAAAGCCCAGCTCACGTAGGTGGCAAGAGCACCCTGTAAAACACTTGCTGTACATGGGCTACTTTTCTAGAATGAGGCATATCTAGCTAGACGGTGCAACTTGCCTTTAAATGTCTTTCAGATTTATATTTCTGAGATCAAATCAAAATTGTTCCTAAGTACAGGCAGATAGATAAAGAAGCTACCGTACATTTTTGAGTTACTCAGTTACTGGCTTTGAGTCACTCTGTGTGGATTGTGCCATCTTTCCGGCTCTTAAACACAATGTTTGCACAGCTTTGTAGAACCTAGCTGGGGATTTTTGGAGCTGATTTTTCTGCTCTGATTATGTAAAGAGATAACAGGTGTTATGCTCCATTTCAGGTGAATGCTGGGCAATTAAGATTGCTGGAGGCACAACCATCATCATGGTTTGATCAGAGACTCATGCAGATATATGTAGGATTGGCACAGCAGCCCTGTCCACACCGCAAGGCAGATTTAACTGTGAATATGTGCATTTTCAGAGTGCCCATGTGACCTGACCTGTAACAGACAAGTTTGTTCTTTGCATTTCAGGAAATCTGCTGCAGTGTTATAAAGATAAATATGCTGGGGGAATCAATAAACAGTCACAAAATTTCTGAGAGCCAAGGAGGCTTCATGGCTGTTTGCTCATCTATATGAGAGATTAACAATAAACTGATTTTTTAAAAAAAAAAGAAAAGGGAAAAACAACATATTTGGTTATTAAAAGCTGGTTCAACTGGAAATGCAGAGGCCAAACAGAGGTTAGGCTGCACATGTTTGTGGATACCAGCCCTGAACTGGTTGGGGCTGTAGCAGTGTCAGAAAGGAGCAGACAGAAATTGCTGAAAATAAAAGCAAAATGTGAGAAGGTAACTAGTAAAGTGATTTGTCACTAACGCTGGTGGATTTTTGTGCAAAGTACCAGTTGGGTGTCTGTCCGTCCCTGGAGCAGTGCACCCTGAATGGTGAAAATTCAGGGTTTGCCTCAATGGCAAAACTACTGGTGCATGTCGTACGTGCCGCCTGACAGAGACACAGGTCTGTCAGTGCGGTGATGCTCGAGTCTGTGCTCCGCTCAAGCAGCTGTTTGTCAGTCCTGCTTTGTTAACTGTGGCTGGGCCTGGAAGCAGGAACTGCTTGCTCTTGCTGGCTGGGTCTCTGTTCACAGAAACGGGTCTCTGGGCAGTCCTGCTACCAGAGCAAGGCAGTACCAAAAAAACACTGAAGCCATCACCAGTTTCTCCTTCCACTGGCAAAAATCAATTGCTCAAGCTGCGCAAGAAAGAGGGAGTTGAAGACATATGCAACAAGATAGCTGTGGGGGACAGCTGCTGAGGCAGAGGAGCAAACTGCAGGGGAGAGGCTAGTCGATGCTATTGGAGTACAGAAGTCCTGACAGTCAAGAGAGCCAGGCGCCTTCCTGGCAGAAATGCATCCTGCAGGGTATGGCCACCTCTTTCACTGCACCATACAAGGGGTGGCCTGGCCGTGTTTGTGGAACATGAAAGGCTGAGCTGTGTGCTCACGCTTCAGCCCTGGGAGGCTCTGTGCACTACGGGGGGGGGCGGGGTGCAGACCCCGTGTGAGAGCATCCAGAGAAGGACTGGAATCATGCAGAGAGAGGAGAAAGGCGTAGTAATAGCAGGAGGAACCCACTGACCCCATTGTATACCGCTGTCCTCCCCCCACTGCTGGCCAGGTTCTCAGCCTTATGTAAGTGAGTCTGCCTATGCCTCCGGTGCCACATTTTTTTCCCTTCTTGGCAGCAGGCTTCCATCATGCCCTCCCCTGAACCCCACTGCTGCGTGCAGTGTTACAGGCAGAGCTCTGGTTGCATCAGCTTCGGGGTTGTTGCTAGGCAGAACATGCAGCATCGTCCCTGAGGACTCCCAATGCCACATTTAACCCTGGCAGGGCTGCAGCATGGCAAGAGATGGGGCCAGCTGAGGGAAGCGAGAAAATAACACACAGGTGCTTGGAGAGGACCTGCGTAAGCTTCTGAAGGTCACTCGTGTCAGGCTTCGGTAAAAAGAAGAGAGAAACTGTGCAGCTCTCAGCAGGAGAGAGTCCAAGCAGTTTCAATACATGACGTTTCTCTGTGAAGTGTTTTTGAAAGGTGCTATTCCTTGTCCAAAGCCCCCTCGGGCAGGTGGCTGCTGTGGGAGGCCTGCCAGCCAGTCTGGGGCTGGGGACCCTGGCCAGACCCGCTGGCTGACCCCACCACCTGCCAACCTGCCTCCAGCCCCGAGTCCCTGGCCCCCATTGTGGCCTCAGCAGTGCCCATTGCAGCACTGTGGTCAACGACAGGTCGTGACTCCCCAGCAGCATCACCCCAACCCCAGTGCTGAGGGAAGGGGCCATGACTTGCACATGGGGAGGTGCAGCCTTATCGCTGGTGGTGTTGTGAGCATGGGCTGAGCACAACTCTGATCTCCGGCCATTTGCTGCCAAGGCAGTAAGGGAAGGGTCGGAGCAGCCCTTGGAAGACAGGGAGGGTGCATATGCCTCTCTCATTTATCTGGGGCCTGCAGGAGTCGAGGGACAGGAAGGCATAGATTTCACATCACTTAGCAAAAAAAGGCTTTCTGAGAATGGTGTCATCTGTGCTTTGCAGTAACATCAGAGAGGGAAGAATTGCATCATTTCTGTTAGCTGCCAAAATGATGAGTTTGCTTGGGCCTTGCAGCAACCAAAAAAAAAGAAGAAAAAACAAACCTATGGCAACTTGAGCTTCCTTTAACCCTTGAGGCCCTGGTGCCTCCAGGACACTGGCTAGGGAAGTGCCTGCCTCCCTTCAGCCTATGCAGGAAGATGTCTCCTGATTGTCATTATGCCACAAACTGTCCTTTATCAGCTGGTCCATTGGGAGCCCAGATGCTTTGAGGTCAGGACGGACTGATGCTTTCCTCAGGCTCTGAGGTCCATCAGTCTACTCTCGGTGCATTACAAGGTGCTAGGGCTGAAATACCTGGACTCTGTGCAGATTTGCCCCCCACAGTCTTGGAGGACAGAGGGAAGTGGTGCCAAAGGGTGGCAGCCCACGGACTCCAGGAAGCCAAGCTGTGTCCCTCCATAGCCTGCCCCCAGAGAGAGTTAATGCACAGGCATGTTCCAGGTGTTTGAGGTGAACACAGTTGCAACAGGGAGGAGAGGGCAATTTTGGGTGGGGAGAGCAGCCCTCTCTGTGAGCCAATGGCTGAACGACTCAGTCCCAACGCCCAGTTTTGGGGCTTATTTCATGGGCAACAATTTGCAGGAATTTCTTCTCAAGGGGATTTGTCCTGCATGAAAAGTAAGAACTGGACCCCCAAGCTTGTTGGTGTCTCCTTTTCTGTGCTGTAGAAGGTAAAGTGCTATGCTTTGGTATCTTGCTTCTTTCAGGGGGAGAAGTGGGGAGATCTTCCCTGGCTGCCTACACTGAAGGCACCTACTGTGCCTGTGTCTGCAGCTCCCCTTTGCATAAGAACCTTGTTGCAGGGTGGTGTGAAGGCTCTGCCGGGATAGACTCTGCACCGTGCATTTGGGACTCAGCCCTGCTGTTGAACTGAGATGTATGGCTCATTTCTCTGCTGAGTTTTTATGCAGCCCTGCTGCATGTTTCTTCAGCTGCCTTTCTTTTGGTACAAAGGAGACCCAGAAGGTATTAGCAGCAGAGAAGCTGAAGTCTTGCTTTGTGACCCTGTTAGATCAGCCTGAGTTGCTATAAGCAGGCTAATGGCAGAGTAACCGCAGTAGCATGCGGCACCTCTCGGTGCAAACCTCACTCAAGCAGTGAGAAATTTGTTCAGATGGCAAATCCTGTCTGAATCGGGCAACACTACAACCCTCCCAGCAGCAAGGAAGGGGTAGCTGTGTTGTGAATATCTGCGAGCATGGGGCTATGTAACTACCATCAGGAAAGGGCCACTGTTCACTGAATTGCCTTTCAGTGGAGCAGAGATAGAGCAGCACAGGCAGCACAAGCAGTTTGTGTCAGGATTACAAGATAGTGTGCCAATATCAGCACGAATGGGCTTGGTGGCTCAGGAGGTCTCTGCCTGCCCCGTGCCCTGTCCCTAACCTTCTGCAGGTGGAAAGCCCTGAGTCAGCAGCACTTCATAAGTAAGCCTTTTGCTGGCTGGGTCTGGCTTGTGCTCTGGGCAACTGTTCCTCTGCCGTGCCTTGCTTGTTACTCAGCCTTCGGCAGGACTACAGGCCCTTTGCTTGGGGCAGTGCCACCTCCCTGATTTCTCTCTTGGCTGTACCAGTCTTTCTCCATTTTCTAAGCACTGCTCTTTGATCTAGAGTCTCTGGGCTGGGTTGTTGCTCTGCTGACAGAGGTAAGTGTCTGTAACCTGTACCCTGCCACTACCCAGTGCATCCTGATAACATTGGACCAGAACTACCTTTTTGGCATCTGAGATTTGATTTAAACGGTGCTGCATTTCTGTCTGCAGACTGGAGGGACATTCTGGATGTGAACACACATAGTGGGCTGATCCTTGTGGTTGCAGCTTGAGGTGTGCAAGTTCATAGCTGGGGAGAGGGGGGGCAGGGGTGACCTGGCCCTTCTGTCAGTGGAACATTGAATCTGCAGTCAAACGCTAACTACAACATGCTGCCAACTCTTGGCCACTGGCTTTAGTGGGGCCTACTTCTCCTCAGCCTGGCAAGTCCATGCTAGGCAGTGGTGCACCTGGCACAGAGAGGTGCCTTTATCTTTCCCACTGCATTGTGCGCTCACTTATGTGTGGGGTTTCACTCCATCTGGCCCCAAATACCCCCCTACTTGCTGCTGCTGACTGAGTTGACCATAGGCAGTAGGTAGGGTCTACAGTTTTTAGAAGTTTTACTTATGGAGAGTCATGGGTTGTGTCCCCAAATGGGCAGATCCCTTGTTTGGCATGTGTTAACTAAGCCCCGGAACTTCACTTCACACTGACAGCTCTCAGGATGGACTCGTACCTGATCCAAGTGAACGGCCATGGAAATCATGCCCCTATCCTGGATGTTCATCTCAAGACCAATGGGAACAGCATATCACTGGGGAAGGTGAAGGGCCGGAAGGGAAGATGGGCTGTCAGGGCTTCTGAAATGTCAAAGAAGACTTTCAATCCTGTCCGAGCCATCGTAGACAGCATGAAGGTGGAGCCCAACCCAAAGAAAGCTATGATCTCCTTGTCCTTAGGTGAGCATGGTGCTGTGGCTGAAGCCTCCGGGCAGTGGGGTCAACTGGGTGGCTGGCAGATTGCAGGGCTCTGAAGCATAAAGCTTGTGTGAACACCCAGGGATAGGCCAGACAACCACACAGCTCTGCGCCTGTCACAGGTCAGTAAGAACTTTACTATTTTTCAATCTTCAAAAAGGAGACCCTACGGTCTTTGGAAACCTTCCAACAAATGATGAGGTCACACGGGCTGTGAAGGAGGTGTTGGACTCAGGACATTACAACGGTTATGCTCCATCTGTTGGTAAGTTGATAAAGTTCTTCCTGTGGGAGAAGGATGAAGGCGTGTGCCAGCTCCTACCCCACAGCAGGTATATGGAGCCCACAGACATCTTTCCAGTAGCACCCTGTGGCTGCCCTCACCGATAGTCCTGTGAGCGCACAAGCATGTGTATACCCCAGATACACCTGAGTGCTCTCCCCTGCTTGATCTCTTTGAGGCCCAGAGCCTCCTGCAGAAGCTATGTTTGCTCCCCTAGACATTAGAGCAGGCAGGGTTTCAGGCACCCAGAAGGGCTCAGGATTTTCTCTCCCTGCCATGGATTGCAGCCAGGCTCCTTTCTGATCTGCCTTGACCAGGACTCCCCTTGGGGTCCCTGACTTCACAGACAACATGAGCCTGTTTGCAGTTGGTGCAAAAAGCATGCATAGATCATGCCTGCCTCACAGGACACTCCATGTGGTGAGAGGGAGGGCTGCCCCTGTGCCATCACTAAACAGTGAAGGCCATGTAATAGCGCTTGGCCTCCTGCTGGATCAGAGCAGCTCCATGGCTACCCTCCACCCTCCTCCTGTCAGTTCTGTGGCCAGGACATGCTGGGGCCAGAGCCTGCCTCCCTGCCCGGGGTCTGTCCCTGCTCTTGGCCTGCCTGGCCCAGCCTTGGGGCTGCACAGTGCTTGGCCTTAGGCAGGACAGTCTCTGCCACCTTGGGACAGTGGCACTAACAAATGGGCTTCCCCCAGCTGCATGGCAGCTGTGAGCCTTGTGCTGGCAAGAAAAAGGACAGTCTGCAAAAACCTCCCTTCCATGTTTGGCTCCTCTTTCCCCAGGCTACCTGTCCTGCCGGGAAGCGGTGGCCGCATACTACAACTGCCCAGAGGCACCACTGGAGGCCCAGGTACTGGTGCCCAGCTGAGACACTCCCACTGCAGTGCCTAGACCACATGGCATGGGGGCCCTGCCCCAGCTCTCTCCCTCCCCTGCCCAGCTGCGGGACTGAAGGCTAGCCCGTGGTCTTGTCCCACAGCAGCCTCCTGCTGCTCTCATCCCCTGCCCTGAGCCCTTCTCCACCCTCCTCAGGAGGAGGCTGAGCTCTCCAGCTGTTGGAGGTTTCCTGCTTTCAGTCAGGCTCTGGACTTGTCTTTTTTGGCTGAGAAGCTCTCACCTGGCAGAGCCTGGGCATTATGTCACTCCCACGTGGCTGGGACACTTCGGAGTGGCTGTGCTTTCTGCTGACTCCTGTGTGCTCTTTGCAGGATATCATCTTAACGAGCGGCTGCAGCCAGGCCATAGAGCTTGCCTTGGCAGTGCTGGCCAAACCAGGCCAGAACATCCTGGTGCCACGGCCCGGCTTCTCCCTCTACAAGACTCTGGCATTGTCTATGGGGATCGAGGTCAAACTCTACAACCTCTTGGTAAGTGGTGGCCAGCCTGGAAGGGGCAGCCCTGACATTTCTGCCTCTCAGAAATACCCTGGCCCTGCCTGGGAAGTGGGTGAAGATGACCTGAGCAACCCTGGTCATCCTGTCACACCTCAGCCTGTGTGGCAAGTCCAGTTCCTCAGCCGTTACTTCCCCTTCTCTTCACTTCACTAGCCAGAGAAGGCCTGGGAAATTGATTTGAAGCACTTGGAGTCTCTGGTGGATGAGAAGACAGCCTGCCTCATTGTGAACAACCCGTCGAACCCCTGTGGCTCTGTGTTCAGCAAAAGCCACCTCCAGAAGATCCTGGCAGGTAAGCCTGCCTGAGTGTATCTATCTGGGACATGGTTGCAGTCTAGCATCTGCTCACATTGCCTACGTCTCAATCACTGCAGCACCAAGGCCCAGGGCTTTGTTTCTCTCTTCATGACTGACTCTAGGTCAGGAAACAGGGTTTGCTTGGTGTGAAGGTGTTGCCTTTCTGGGCAAGAACATGCAGAGTGTGCATCCTGCTCTTCCTCAGATGTTCTGTGTGGCTTGGACTGCTCATTTCTCCACTCTGGCTTTGCAGAGGGAAAGTGTTCACAGGGAGCCCTGCACTTCCTGAGCCCTGGCCTGTCAGTGGGAGGGCTGTGCTGCCTGCCCCCACCGGTGTGAGCAGAACAAAGGGCCAGGGCAGGGACCGCCAGTGCCTGGGCTCTCTGAATAAACTGTCTGTAGGAGAAAGATAGGGACCCTCTGCTCTGAGCTTCCCTCAGAGCCTTGCCAGGCCCTGCAGCAAAGGGCAAGTCTGCTCCCATGGAGGATGCAGGTGGCCAGGCTAAATGCCCTCTCTTCCACAGTGGCATCAAGACAGTGCGTGCCCATCCTTGCTGATGAGATCTATGGAGACATGGTGAGTGTCAGTTGCAGTCCCTTGCACCCCCCAAGCTGCCTGTCCTTTCTGATGCACTTGCCCTTTGGCCATGGCAGCCAGGTCTCCAGAGGTGAGTGACAGCTCCACTCCCCTATACTGTGCCTGGGTCCATGCCTTGAGCTCCCAGTTCTCTGGTGTCCAGTCCTGGGTGTACTTTTCATGTCCAGCTCCTTTTCTCTTCCCAAATGGCTCACTTTCATGTGAGTGCACTTACCATGTTCATACCTTGAAGCTGGGAGCTTTCACCATCAATTTCCCATCACTTCCCTGCCTCCCTTCCTGTTATGCCTCATGCATACCCCCACAGTTCTCACAATAAGAGGCAGGGACAGCCCTAACACAGCCTGCTGTCACAGGTGTTTGCTGACTGCAAATATGAGCCCATTGCAACGCTCAGCACCAACGTGCCAATCTTGTCCTGTGGTGGCTTGGCAAAGCGGTGGCTAGTCCCTGGCTGGCGGATGGGCTGGATCCTAATTCATGACAGGAGAGACATCTTTGGTAATGAGGTAAGAACTGCTGAGTCACAGCAACAGACCTGCAGTGTCTTCAGTGTGTGGATCACCAGGGCTTTAACTGATACAGGCATGTACTGCTCTTTTGCTCTCACATGGGTATCACCCAGTTGCTTAAAGTGCTTTGCTGCACCTCCAGGCTTTTCATGTCCCTTCCTTACTCCATCTGCTCCCATACATGGCCTTCTACCCACACCTACACTGTCAACACATTCCTTGTCTCTGCTCTTCCTTCATATATGCCTTGTCCTTTTTGTGTGCTTCTAATTCCTTCTCAAAAAGCTCCAGTGTTCACCGAAGGTATTGCATGACTTAGCCAGCATGTGGAGTCCATGTGTGGTCTCTATGTGCTCTTATATCGTTCCTTTTAAAAGTAAGAACAAAGCACCTTGCAGTGCTGCCAGTGCTTTAGCTGACTATTTGTTCAGCTATGTTACGAGAACAACCATCTATTGCGGTGACTTTTCCATGTAGAGGGCTTTTTGCAGAGGAAGAGGGAGAAGAGAGGACCAACTGAGTGAGCAGAAGAGCTAATGCTGGTTGTCACTACCTGGCTTTGAAAGTGTGGATTGTAGGCCCAAACCTAAGGGAAATGCAAAGTGGTATTTGGAACAGATCTGGCTTTATTTGTATTAGCTATATTCCAGCCTGTTTGGAGTCAGATTGGGAAGCTCCCAAGGTTGTCTCTGTTGGCATTACAATGTGCAACTGAGGAACAGAGAATGACACTGTAAATACTCTGCAAATACCTAGCATATAGTCAAGCAAATATTCTTTAGTACTCTGTGTGCTCACTGAAGAGAGGGCAATGAACAGCTGTAGAAACACAGAGTAGGCCTTGTAGCTGTCACCATGTTTTTTCAGATCAGGGATGGCCTTCTGAGACTGAGTCAAAGGATCCTAGGACCCTGTACGATTGTCCAAGGAGCACTGGAACGTATCTTGCACCGAACACCTCCTGAGTTCTACCACAACACCCTCAGCATCCTCAAGGTAAACAGGCTGTAACAGGTCAGCAAAATTTGTTCGTGGATTGTTTGGAGGGAGTCATATCTCCCTAGCTTATCATCCCTCCCTGCCCCACTTTAAGGTGCAGTTCTGTCTGTGACTAGGAGAGCCCAACAAATCCAGTTCCAGCAGGAGACATGGTAAATGGGGCAGAAATATTGGCTGTGTTAAGTTTCAGGCAGCCCAGCCCTGCAGCTGGAGCTGGTGACCCAGGGGATGGGATGTTTGGCATGGACTTGCTGAGCTCAGCTCAGCTCAGTCACACCTGCTGTGCTCAAGGCCATGATCACCCATGCTGTTTGCATTCATTGTCCCTTTATTTGCAGTAGGCAAACCTGTTTATAGTCCTGGTCCAGAGCTTGGCTTCCATTTGCTGAGCTGCTTCCTGGAATTTCTCCTGTTTTGAAATTTCCCCTTTCTGCTTTTCAGTCCAATGCTGACCTTTGTTATGCTGCCTTATCAGCTATTCCTGGCCTCCAGCCTGTGCGGCCTACTGGAGCCATGTACCTCATGGTAAGTGAGGAGAGGGACACACCATTTCCAGATCATCAACACTCACACTAGGTCCCATTGCCAGTGCTTGTCAATGGTTTCAGGTTGGTGCTTGGCACCAGGTCTCCATTACCATGCATTTTCACATTGCCCTGTGTGGCAGATGCATCCCTTGGTCACTTTAGAAGGCCAGAATACGTTGTTCACATCTCACATCGCAGAGGCTGGTACATTTCTCCCACTTGCTCCTGCACAGAACTCAATGACTTGTACTTTGCAAGACAATGTTGCTTTACCTGGATTTGAAGACAGCTGGCAATGGGAAGCCCCTCCACTACAAGTTAGACTATCATACCTCCTGTTGAAGATGTAGCCTTCTTCCTACTAGCATGTCTGTCTTCTGCCTATGCTAATGCCACTTTTCCTACCTTTTTCCATACCTTTTTTTTTTTAAAGTTTTTATGATGTGGTGAAATTTCCTTTTTTCATCTCAACAAGCTCAACTGAGACATTTAAATCTCTTAAATTTAATGCATTTTTAATCTCTTTTTTTTTTTTGTCTCATATTGTCTCCACTTTTTCATCATCTTTTAAAAATGTGGACCCAGAACTGCAGAATACTGCAATATCACTCTCACTCATGTTCTATAGACAAGTCTTTTAACAGTTGACCCTGTTTCCAATCTTATCCAGAGCTACACAGGTCATTCTGCTTATCCTCCTTGTGTAGAGACACAGCTCTAAGATTTTTTTTCACACTTACTGTTCTTCTGCAGCACCTGAACATCTCTTTCAAATTAAATCATCTGGTAAAATTTTTCTTCCATTGGCTTTTTCAGAACTTCTGCATGCAAATTATCTCTCACTTGGTTTGTTTAAGAATATTTTCATAAGATATTTTAAATAATCTTTGGTTATAAACAAATGGCCAGGATATCAGTGTTTTTACGTGACAAAGGGACAGCCTCCTTCTTTCCAAATACAGAACAGAAAAATTTATTGAACATTTCAGCATTTCCATGTCATTTTACAAATGATATCATCCTACAAGGATTTATTTGTTCATGATACTCCTGACTTTGCTATCTTCCTTTTTTTTTTTTTTTTTTTAAACCAGAACATTAGTTTGTCTTTTTCTTACCATATGGATTTCTTGCATGACAGAATTATTGATGCATATTGACTGGAGTTCTCTCCCAAGCTCTTTTTCAGTATCTTATTTATTCGTTTTCACTTGTAATTCGTTACAGTATCTTTGCCATCAGCTGTCTTTAACTGAAGTTCCAGCTTTAGGTAGTTAATGAATACCTCTTAAAGAAGCCCTTGTTTTCATTTGTATGTTACTGTTTGTGTCTTACATTCCAGTCAGCTCAAATCATGAGTAAAAATTGAGGACAGACAGCCGCACTCAACTGGGAAGTTGTTGGGACATGTGGGTAAGCAGGGACACTGCAGATAGTTTTGATGCTCTTGGTTGCCATGTTACATCCCTTTGCTGCAGGTTGAGATTGAGATGGAGCATTTCCCCGAGTTTGAAAATGATGTGGAGTTCACTGAGCGACTCATCTCGGAGCAGTCTGTGTTCTGTTTGCCAGCCACGGTGAGCCTAACGCTGAGAGCCCCAGAGAGCTGAGAGGCCAAAGCATGGGCAGAGAAGCAACAGGGGTTTGCAGCCCTGAGCTCTGGGGAAAGGTTGGGAGTTGTGTGTGCTGTGTCCATGGTCTGTGATGTTGCATATGTGCTGGCTGTGAAGTGCAAGTGCTATCTGTAGGGATGGGGACTGGCACTCTCTAGCTCACTAACAGCCCTCAGTCAGGCTTCCAGGATCTTCTCAGTTCAAAGCTTGCTCTGTATTTCTGAAGTTGGCAAAGCTATATCCCTGAGTCCTATGTACCCCCACACCTCTTTGCTGAAGCTGCTCCCTCAGCAGCCCCGGACTGCTCCCACCTATGTTCCTTTCTTCACCCTGTTCCCAGTCCCCCACCCCTGTAGGCACGGGGACAGACTACAGGCTGAGAACATCTGTGCCCTGTGCCCACCTCCTTCTAGCTCCATTTCCAGCACTGAATACAGATGAGGCCTTAGATACTCTCCAGCCCTCTCCTTCCCTGGCTCCTTCCAGCCCATTCCCTGGGTCCTACATAGCCCATACAGAGTCTTTTGGCCTGTCACCCTCACAGCATCATGTCTACACAGATGGAGATGGGAAATTTGCTTGGAACAGAAAAAATTCCAAGGGAGCAACAGCCCAGCCCTGCTGACCTACACCGACCATTTTCACCTGCTGACACAGCACATTGCCCCAAGGCAGGGCTCTGAAACTACAGCACTATCCCAGGTAATTTGCCAGCTTCATTCTTTCTCATTTCAGTGCTTTGAGTACCCAAACTTCTTCCGTGTGGTGATCACCGTGCCTGAAGAGATGATCTTGGAGGCCTGCAGTCGCATTCAGGAGTTCTGCGAGACACACTACCAGGGTGCTGAGGGGGCCCAGGATCTGGAGTGTGACAAGTAGCCACAGTTGGCCTCCTGCCTCTGCCAGGCTAGACCTTGTGTTGAGGCAGCAGCTGGGCAGGCAGGGCTGCTTCCAACCAGCCTCACATCCCCCTGCCTGCAAGCAGCCGCCGTCCTGCTGCTTCATTTTTTGTGCTCCACAGGCCCCTCAGCACCATGGGAAGAAGCAGCCACTTCTCTCTCCTCCTCCACTGCAGCTTGCACACCCTCTGGCATCCAGTGCCTGTGGCCTCCATATACTCTGCATTTGTACCCTGTGTTGATCTGTGCTGCCTGCAAACCAGCTGCAGGCAGGGGCACATGGCTGCTCCTGTGCCAGGACCCACAGGCCAGTAGTTCCTGTGCTGGCTGCACTTCCCCGTGGGGACTGGAGAAGGCCACTGTCTTGGAGGACAAGAGAAAAGTATCCACCTCTTGCTTACCTGTGTTACCTTAGGAGGCCAGAGCTCTTTATACCAAGCCCTTTGTGTGACAAAGGGAGTAAGTTATTGTGACTTTTTTTATTAATAAACATTCTGACATAGCAGTCCCTGCACTGTGCTCCTGTTGTGCCAACTCTGCCTTGGCTACTGTGTGGGTCACCCTTGCTTGGCCTATGGTGCTGTAGTGCCCCAGCCCTGCCTCTGCCTCGCAGCTGGCTCTCCAGGGCCTTCCCTGTCACCAGGAGGGGCATGATGAGGGGGCCTCAGACCCTCAAAGGCACCCACCAGGCCCTGACGGCAGGACGGGCCCTCCAAGCCTGGCAGAGACTTGAGCCGGCCACTCCCACCCCTCATATGCCGGGGTCTTGCTGTGGTAGCCTGGCCTCTCCCCGCAGAACAGCCCTGTCTGCGCTTGCCCGTTGGCCCTCACAGTCTCTCCCCATAGCTCCTGACAGAGCAGTGGGTGCTGGTGCCCAGTGTTGCTGGGAGCTGCTGACCCCTGGGCCAGGGCCAGCCGTGCCAGGCACTGGTGCCTAAGCACTCAGGGTTGGGGCAGCCGGGCATTCCCTGCTGCAGTGGTGAGGAAGGGGGTGACGCCCCATGAAATGCTCGTACTGTATGGGGTGTTCATGACACACCCACAGTGCCAGCTTACTGATTACTGAATACATCAGCTCCATAAAGTAATAAGGAACTGCTGGCCTGGTGTCTGTTCATTCCATGGAAACAGGAGGAGTGCTTGTGCAGCCAAGAGATGGTAACGCCCATCGGACCACCTGGTCTGGTGAGCTGCTTGGGAGCCATTTCTGAAACTGACAGAGGGGCAACTGGCAGAGTACCTCGCATCTTCACCTACACCTCTGTTCACCTGTCCTGCTGGGATCCACAGGTCAATCCTGCCTCCCCAGTGATGGGAAAAGTGAGCTAGCTCTAGATTACACACTGCCAGACGCCCTGCCAGGTTCTGTAGACATCTCATCGCCTCCCATCCATTACTCAGTACTCCACTGGAGGGGAGGTGTCTATATGGGAAAGAGAGCAGTGTATGAAAAGGTCATTGACACATCAGCCTAGTGTCCATGCTACATCCTTTCCCTTCAAGGAAAGCAATACCAGAACAAAAAGAGAGAACTGGAGCTATGGGTGAATGGTAGATGGCTTCAGAGATTTCATGCCACTAGACCTCCAAATAGAGCCAAATAACCTGAGCTGCTTAAGACAAGACGTTGACAAATAATAAGTAGGCTTGCATGTGAGGGGTTTTTGGGACAGGAGACCTTTACAGCATGACGTTGCTGCATTGTTATGCTGTCTTGCAGCTACTATAGCTGTCAAGTTGAACTGTCTGTCTCCTTGAACTCTTCTCCACATATCTTGGATTCTGTGGCTTTAATTCCCATTACTAATGAACAGATCCTGGTTTTAGAGAAAGCCTCTGCCTGGGTGCTGCTTTGGGAATCCCCTGCTTGGGGAGGTAATGAAAATAAATTCACTCTTTGCATTTCATCCATGGTTTTGTGGTTGTTCCTGTGTCCTGCCTGTGTCAGCTCATACCTTGATCCACAGCCATCCTCCCTGTCTTAGCTGGGGAGCACCAGCTGTATACCTTGGAGCAGGCTTGCAGTATGCTTCTGCTCGTCTCTGCACCGTCTGGATTGGCCATATTTAAGAGCAGGGTGACCTACCCCAGACATGGGAACCTAGGCAGTGAGGCAACTTCAAGCCTAGTGCTTTCCTTGGGAAAAGACGGAACTTCTCAGCTGATGGGCAAATGAAGGTGAAATGTGCAAGTCCTCAGTTGGCAGCGAGGCCCAACCCAGCAGGGCAAACTGACACTGTGGGTGGGCTGGGCCAAATCACACCTGGCAGCAGTGAGGCCATCAGCTCCCCCAGGTGTCTCAGGAACCTGGATGCAGCCCAGCCCCTGGCCCCAGCATCGCCCGCTCTCTGCCAGGAGCCCTGGCTGCCCCCAATGGGGCGGCAGCCTGCAAGAGTCCCTGAGCGTCTTCCTGCCATGGGGCCGTGGCCCTTGACCAGGATGGCCTCTGTGAACTGGTCTGCTCTCCACCACCATGTAGCCACCTCGTACACCTGCAGCGGGAAGATGTGGTGTGCCCTGAGCTGGACCCAGGCTGGCTGCAGAGAGGCGGTCTGTGGATGATCAGGGAGGCCCTGGCGAACCAGGGGAGCTCAGGTGAGGCTCGAGCATTGCATGGGAGTGGGAGGAGGATCCCAGGGGAAGGTGTCCGTGCAAAGCTTCTTTGTACATGAGGGCTGGCACATAACCTCATTTTTCCAGGCTGTGCAGGCCTGACAGAGACCAGGTGAGCTGACCTGCTCTGGTGGCATCACCTGTGGGGGCTGGAGGAAGGAAATACTTGGTGCATGGCAAAGGGAGGCACAGATAAGTTTCCACGAGGAGGAGAAGTGGCCAGGGAGAGACTGCAGATGTAAGAGGAGGTAGCAGCAGTGGGCTGGGAGGCAGTACCTTCTTGAGGTGACTGGGAGGGATTTTGCACACCAGACTGTGAGAGAGTAGAAGAGTTCTGGAGGAGAAGAAAGGCTCAGCGTGGGTAAAGTCTTGCTAATGACAGGACAGCCACTAAACACACAGCCTCAGCAGAGTTCCAGTAGCTGGAAGGCCCCTGAAAGCTGGCTAGCTAAGCTGAGCAACTGGTCAGAACAAGGTTGGGGGTTCTATCTTCTATACTGGCCTTCAGCCTAGGATCCTAGCACTGGGGAAGCATTCTGAGGGGCAGAAGCCCTGGATCTTTCTGATGTTTTGGCTGTCTGGCATGGGCTCTCTCACAGTGCTTGAAGCTCAGACCTATACCAGCCCCTTGCTTTGCCATGTATTGTCTTCCATTAGCCTGTATGACTTGAGTCAGTGTTCACTGAAGCCTTGCCAGAGCAAACAGGTGCTGTCAATAGGTCTGAATGACTTATTTCTTGGATGCCTGACAGAAGTAGTTGGTGCTAGCATAGGGTCTTCTGCACTCTAGTGCATTGTGTGGACTATGCATGCTTCAGCTCTGCTTATTGCTCTTGTTCCTCTCAACTCCAGACCAGCTGTTCTACTCCAAGCCTCAGGGCACAAGCTGATGTCAGGTTTTTGACAGCCTGTGTACATAAAGAAGGCAGAAGCTGACCAGTGAAATGAATTCAAAGGCTGAATAAATACACGTTCTTCTTACTGTTTTTCTCTTTTCTGTAATGTGTTGGTAAAGTATTATGTGACCCCATTCTTAGAGTCTTGTTTATATAAACTTCTTTCTTTCTCTCCTGTTTTCCCATTTTCCCATTCCCTACCACTTGAGATACTAGAGTGCTATAATACAATGAAGCCAACAAATGAGTATTGCCATTGCATTAGTTTGTAAGACATGGGAACGTGGTCCGGTAGGGCTCTTCCTGGGTTACAGACCCCTACTTCCTGCTATTGAACAGACAGCTCTAGGGCAGAGCTTTGTTACTTGCCTAGCTACGGTAAAATACCTTTTAATGTCATTCTGTAAGATAATGAAAATGCAGATAAATGAAAAGAAAATAAGTTAGTACAGGGGTTGGTAGTAAGGAGAAAATAGTAATATTAACTCAAGTAATGGAAAGGTAGGTGATATTGGAGACCAGCCAGGAAACGGAATAATGTCAGGCAGATATGGCCAAGATGTTTGTTTACTAATGCAACGAATCACCAGTAGAATAGAGGAACTACAACTACTGATACTGGTCATAGCGTGCGGGAAACTTACAGACTGCCATAGATTGGCAATCATGAATGGAAAAGGACATGCATTGTTCATGAAGAGTAAAAACATAAGTAAAAATCATGCGAGAAATAAGTAACGATGGGGGTAAAAACCACACTTGCTTGTCTGAAAATCTGTTTGTAGAGAACTTAGAAGAAAGAGTGATGGAAGGGGTCTTATTGGCCCTGCATAGCGTGTGGGAAACTTACAGACTGCCATAGACTGGCAATCATGAATGGAACATATGTATTCAAGGACATGCATTGTTCATGAAGAGTAAAAACATAAGTAAAAATCATGCGAGAAATAAGTAACGATGGGGGTAAAAACCACACTTGCTTGTCTGAAAATCTGTTTGTAGAGAACTTAGAAGAAAGAGTGATGGAAGGGGTCTTATTGGCCCTGTGTGATTACATACAGAGATCTCCATGGTATTCAAATAAAAAATGCAGCGAGGGACTGTGTGATTATGGAAGACTTTCTGCTTTTCAGGTAGAGACTGGAAAACAAATATTACTAATAATAAGAAGAACCAGCTGTTCCTGATGTGATGGGGAGATTTGTTCACTGAATTAGTGAGTTAATAAGAAATGACACTACTTTAAAATTGTTTTGGCAAGCAGTCATCATCTTGTAGAAGAGAGTTATGGAAAACACCCTCCAATCATGTGAACACAAACTGTATCAGTTTAAATTACGGAAACAAAGGTCTGGTGAAGTAAGGAGCACAAATACTAGTGTTTGGAGAAGGCTTGTAACTTTCCTAGACTATAATGTATTTCCATGTTCAACTCTGTAGTCTGGAACAAGGGGAATAGTTGTTTGCACTC